ACACCACTCTTGGTAAAGAACAGAACATCTAGAAAGAAACTCAACAAAGATACCGAAGATCTAAAGGCCACAATCAACCAGCTTGACCACATGGACATATATAGAACACTCCACTCAACAGCAGCAGAGTATACATTCTTTTCCAACGTACATGGAACATTTTCCAGAATAGACCACATTTTAGGCCACAAAGCAACCCTCAATAAAATCCAAAACATCAAAATAATACAAAGCTTTCTCTCTGATAAGAATGGCATAAAAGTAGAAATCAATAACAGGAAGAGCAAGGGAAAAAAATCAAATACATGGAAAATGAATAACAGTTTGCTTAAAAACAATTTCATAATAGAAGAAATCAAAGAGGGAATAAAACAATTCTGAGAATTGAATGAGAATGAAAACACATCATACCAAAACCTTTGGGACACACCAAAGACAGTGCTCAGAGGTCAATTTATAACAATATACACACATATCAAAAATAACAATCCAAAATCAAAATGTTAGTTAGCCTTACAACTTGAACAAATAGAAAACGAACAGCAAAACAAGCCCACAGGCACCAGGAAAAAGGAAATAATAAAGATTAGAGCAGAAATAAATGAAATAGAGAACAGAAAAACAGTAGAAAGAATCAACAAGACCAAAAGTTTGTTCTTCGAAAAGACCAAGAAAATCAACAAACCATTTGCCAAACTGACAAAAGAAAAACAAGAGGAAGAAAATAACCCAAATAAGAAATGAGATGGGAGAATTACAACAGGCCCAAGTGAAATATATAACAGAATACTATGAAAAAATTGTACTTCAACAAATTTGATAGCCTAAAGAAATGGACAAATTTCTAGAAACACACCACCTACCTAAACTAATACAAACTGAGACAGAAAATCTGAATAGACCCATAGCAAGAGAAGATATTGAAGAGGTAATAAAAAAAAAACTCCCCCCCACCCAAAAAAAAAAAGCCCTGGCCCAGATGGCTTCACTGGAGAATTTTATGAAGCATTCAGAGAAGAGCTCACACCAGTACTGTTCAAACTATTTCAGAGCACAGAAAAGGAAGGAGTACTCCCGAATTCATTCTATGAAGCCAGGAAAACCCTGATACTAAAGCCAGACAAAGACACCACAAAAAAAAAAGAAAGTTACAGACCAATATCGCTAGTGAAAATAGATGCAAAATTTCTCAACAAAATTCTAGCCATTAGAATTCAGCACCATATCAAAAAAATAATACACCACAACCAAGTAGGATTCATACCAGATATGCAAGGATGGTTCAACTTTAGAAAATCAATGTAATCCATCACATAAATAGAACAAAAGAAAAAATCACGTGGTCATCTCAAATGATGCAGAAAATGCATCTGATAAAGTCAAACACCCATTCCTGATTAAAAAAAAAAAAAAAACTCTCAAGAAAATAGGAATAGAAGGGAAATTCCTCAAAGTAATAAATGGCATCTGTACAAAACCAACAGCCAACATCATTCTCAGTGGAGAGAGGTTGAAATCATTCCCCCTGAGAACAGGAACAAAACAAGGATGCCCTTTATCATCACTCCTTTTTAACACTGTGCTGGAAGTCCTACTAGAGCAATAAGGCAAGAAAAAGAAATAAAGGGCTTCCAATTGAAAAGGAAGAAGTAAAACTATCCCTATTAGAAGATGATATGATACTATACATACAGAACCCCAAAGATTCCACAAGAAAACTAGTGAAGCTATTAGAAATATTCAGCAAAGTAGCCGGATACAAGATCAACATACAAAACTCAGTTGGGTTCCTGTACATCAATGCTGTGCAATTAATTACTCTTATGTGTGGCCTTTCTAGCCATGGTCTTGTAACTGCCACCCAGGTGATTGGGTGGGACTATGTGATAGGCTAATTGTGGCCCACCAAAGGGATTGGTCAGTTTTGCGATCCCACTGGGCTTGAAATGAGCCACCCCAGAGGCAGTAAAGAGAAGAGCCCACCACCACCAAGGAAAGAGAGACCAGCAGGAGAGACCTGGCAGCAGGAGACTGCAAGGTGGACTTCCCTGCCCATGGAGAGAGAAAGCTGAATGCCTTTGGGCAGAGAGTGAGGGCCAGAGAGCGGCATGCCTGTGAACACAGCTGGGAAGTGACTATCCTGATGGAAGAACTATATCCTGAGTGTTCCTGAGCCTGAATTGTAACTGTTACTTCCCTAATAAACCCCATAATTGTGAGTTTGGTCTGTGAGTTCCGTGTGGCCAGTGCTGTGAGAGGGACAGTTGGTGTCAGAATTGGTAAAGATGGCAGAGAGAGGAGGCGTTTCTGACCTCCACCTCATAGGAATCAGGCTTGGGCTGTTGATCTTGGTTTTCCTTCCCCGTTGTGAAGTTAGAGGAGGTCAGACACTGCCACGTGCCATTTTTACAACCAACAAAGAAAACTTCAAAAAGGAAATCAGGAAAGTTTCATTCTCTCCAAAATGTATATAGCTTTAACATTTAAATCATTCTTGAAATAACAAAATTATAGAGATAAAAAACAGGTTAGTGGCTGCCAGAGGTTAGAGATACTGAAAAAGGAGGTGGTGTTATTATAAAGTAGTAGTGTAGCAGGTTGAATGGTGACTCCCGCCTAGAAGATAAGTCCGCCCACGACCTGTGAATGGGATTTTATTTGGAAAATAAAAATTCAGATGCAATTAATCGCAAGATGCAATCATCCTGGTTTATCAGGTGGGCCCTAAATACAATGACAAGTGTTCTTATAGAAGGAAGAAGGGAAGAAGACACAGAGAAACCATGTGAAGATGGAAGCAGAGATTGGAGTTATGCAGTCACCAACTAAGCAATGCCTGGAGCCCCCCAAAGCTAAAAGACACAAAGGAAGGATTCTCCCCTAAAGCCTTCAGAGGAAGCATGGTTCTACCAAAACCTTGATTTCGACTTTAGACTAGAACTGTGAGGGAATAAATCTCGGTTGTTTTAAGTCACCTAATGTATGGTAGCCCTGGTAGCACAGTGGTTAAGAGTTTGGCTGCTAACCAAAAGGTCGGTAGGTCAAATCCACCAGCCATTCCTTGGAAACCCGGTGGGGCATCTCTACTCTGTCCTATAGGGTTGCTATGAGTCGGAATTGACTCGACAGCAACAAGTTTGGTTTTTTCAGTTTTCATGTATGGTAATTTGTTATAACAGCCACAAGAAAGGAACACAGGTAGCATGAGAAGATTCATGTGATGACGGAATAGTTATGAGTATCTTGATTGTGGTGATACAGGAATCTACGCATGTGATAAAGTGACTCAGAACTATACACACACATTGCACCAATGTTAAATTCCTAGTTTTTATATTGTACTATAATTATGTAAAATCTCATTTTCTTCAGAGGAAACTAAGTGAAGGGTACAGACAGGTCCTCCCTGTACTATTTTTTGGAAATTCTTGTGACTCTATATTAACTTCAACATAAAAACTTAAATAGATAACTCTGTTCATTCTGAACAAACAAGACTGTTGCAAGGGCTATGCAGAGACCCAAAACCAGTAGAATGGCTGCATATTGAGGAAGCCTTCTATTACACAAGATCCCACCTTCCTTTATCAAAAAGATTTAAGACTCTCCCTCAAGGAGGTTTTCAGCAGAAATACCAGCAATGCCAAACAAATACTTAACAGTAGAACTGTGAGTTCTGGGAACCATAGGCATTTTAGGCGGAAGAGAGCATCCAGTCATCTGTTTCATAAATTACTTCATCTAGGTCACGAGTCATACGTAAAAAGGAAGTCTTTCTGAATCCCACAGACCAAGATCAGAAGTCCTCAGTGCTGGGCTTGCTCGTCTTCTCAACATGAGCAGCCGGGATCTAAGGTTGCTGCCATGTAGGTAAATTATGACAACAGCGATAGATAATTAGAGGATCTGGGAGCTCTTTATCCACTTTGAGAATCTTTTCTCTCCTTTGCTTGATTCCTGCATTGTTTTCCCACCATCTCTATAAGGGAGAGGAGAGAACAAATTTTAAGTTGTTAGTTTATTTATATCAAGATCTCAAAGGAGGAAGATGGTGAAACTGATTCTTAGGGCAAACTTCAGAACTTAATAAACCCACTGCCGTCAAGTCGATTCTGACTCATAACAAACCCGTAGGGTTTCCAGGCTGTAAATCTCAATGGAAGCAGACTGCCACATCTTTTGCCTGTGGAGCTGCTGGTGGTTTCGAACTGACAACCTTTTGGTTAGCAGTCGATCACTTTAACCACTGCACCACTAGGGCTAATACGAATTTCTTATTTTACCACCTATACAAATTTTGTTATAAGATAACCGAACTTTCTGAAAAGTCTAATGTGCTAAGAAAGACATCTTCATTTAGTCAATAGGTTTTGTGTGGGTCTTGGAAGGATCTGAAGGACGATAATATTGAATTGGTAAAAACTGATATTAGCGAGATCAGCTTCATTCTGATTAGTCTTTATCTCTTGGATGCTTAGATAATACTTGGCATCTAGTAGATACTCCTTTTATGGTAGCCCAATTGATGGTTATTTGTTTCCTGGTTTTTATGAAAATAGTCATATTTTTTAATCATCTGATTTGTAAATGATGGATTTTTTTAAAGCTGGTCACAGTTTGATGGCCTGTTGTACTAAATGCTGTGGTGATTTAAAAGAAATTAAGAGTGAAGTTAGTTTCTTCAAGACATTAAAATTTTTAGGTATACATATATAATTTATTCAAAATACTAAGTGACTTTATTCATGCACGTGGAACATTAAAACTCACTTACTTTATCCTGCTCTGGGTGCCACAATATAGAAAACAGAAGCACAGCCAGTAGAGGGTAAAAGAAATACTTCAAGAAGCTCAGAATACCAAGCTAGAAGGGAGAGGATTTAGAAAATGTTAGTTGGCTACAAATTCATCCCAAATATTCATAGATAAATGAAAAGAAGATAGATAATGACACATATTAGTACACCCTTGATGATGACGATGATGATGATGAAAGCTTAAGTTTAATTCATTAAACAAGATTTACTATCAGATATGTATTGTATTTAGTGTCTAACACGTTTACTTATTTACCTTCCCAACAACGCAATAAGGTAGGTGCTCTTATTCTTCCCATTTTATGGGTAAGAAAACTGAGACACAGAGAATGCAACAAATTGCCCAAGACAGGCAACAAGTAAGTGTTAGAACAGGACTCAAATGCAGGCAGGCGACATGATGGTTACCAGTGTTCTGACATCAGAAGGAGCTGCTGACCGAGGACAGCATATTGCCACCTCTTCCCACCCCGTCCACCCAGTGCCTCCTTCCCCCATTTGAGCCCATCCCACTAGTCTAAGCCCCCAGTGGGTGGACCTCAGGGTCCTTACACAGGCAGCCCTGTCACCATCAGTGGTCATGGCTGTGACAACAAGCCTGTTTTCCAACTTCTCCCTTTGCTGCTCAGTAGATGAGATGGCATTTGAGCTCAGCTTTGAGAAGATGATTCTTAGAGGTAGAGGAGAAGGGAGGCTTTCATGAGGAAAAAACAGTGTGAGAAAAGTCACAGGCATTAAAAATATTCCAGAGTGAGTGAAGTGTGGATTGTGGAAGAATGGACGGAGAGGGAGTGGAAGACAAGTCTCCAAGTGTGATCCACGACCCAATCCAAATCCATGAGGATGCAGACAGGTATACTTGGAGGTTTTGGTGTTGTCTTGATTGTACAGCCTAGAAGACAAAAGATGTCTCCCCCAAACCCTTGTTCTAACCCTCTTCACTCCTCTTCTGCTGCTGAGGTATCTTTTTCCCTCTCTATCGTCCCTTCTCCCTCCTTGCTTCATCCACTCACCTTTATGATTCTATCTGTGTCTATTCCTCTCTATGTCACTCTATCTCTTTGTCTCACAGTGCCGTCTCCCCCATCTCTGTCTCTTTCTGTGGGTTTCCTATTTCTCCTTCCCTCTAACTGCATCTCTATCACTGTCTTACCTCTGACTCTCCGTTTATCTCTCTTCATCTCTCTCTGTCTCTCTCCCCCACTCTGTCTCTCTCCATCATCTCCCTTTATTCTCTCTGCATCTCTATTTCCTTGTCTGTCTCTTTGATGAATGGCAGGGAGGTACCCCCCTCCAAAACCTCTGGTGACCTGAGCTGGATTCCCCAAGGACACATTCTGAGAGCGGGACCCCCTTGGCAGCGGGGGGAGGGCGTTCAGCATGAGCCTATAGCATCTTCCCGTGTGCCAGCAGTCTAGGCAAAATGTCACTACTTGCTCCGAGATGGGACATCAGGGCCAATGGAGTGAATGAGTGTGTTGTAGATGTGCCTATGAGGAAGAGGGTGAGCATCTTACAGCCAGGGTGGGGGAGCTAAGAGAACACTGAGTCAAAGGTCAATCCCTCTTTTATAATAGTAGAGAACACTGAAATCACACCAGGCAGCATTCACTTGGCTGATTCTCACAGTACTCTAGGAGGTGGGCCCCATCGTCATCCCCATTCTATAGAAGGAGAAATAGAGGCACAGAGAGGTGAGGAAATCTGCCCAAGGCCCAGGATTTGACCTGACTCCAGTCTGTGTTCTGAACCACCACCTACACAGCCCAGGGAACAGGGGAGCAGGTGGCTGCAGACTCAGGCCCCTTCCCCATCCTGTGCTTCCTGAAATCCACCTGGACCCCAAAGAGGGGTTGCTCACTCTCTCTCTCTGAGCAAGGACACGACCCCAGCCTGGGGGGCCAGCAGCCCCCTTCCCTCAAATATGTTTCCTGACCCCCACCCCTCTGTTTCAGCACTCTGCCTCTTGCTGACACTGTCAGGAGCCGGATCCCAGAAAGGTGAGGGGGGTGCATCCAGGGGTGAATCTGCGGGGGCAACACAGCCACAGCCTGAGCCTGGGGAGGGGCCTGGGCCCCACCCTAAACCCTTAGCCCAGGAAGATGGGGCCCAGGGCTATCCCCCACCCCCAGCACTCCCTCCTCTGGGACCACCCTGCCCACCTAGCCCCTTCTCAGCCCTCATCTTCTGACCATGGTCTCTGTCCCCACAGCTTCTTATGCACCATGGTGTCCCCCAAACTCCACATGCGATAGTGCCACCACCTGTCGCTGTGATCCAGGATTCAGTTCTCCATCTGGGGAGATCATCACCAGCCCCACAGAGTTCTGTGATGGTACAGAGGCTTAAGAGTGGTAGAGGGGCGCACCTGAGATTGTGGGGCTTCATCCAGGTCAGAGGGGGTCATGGTGGTGGTTGGGCACTTCAGCTCTTGACCTCAGGACCATCGTCAAGAGCAATGAGAAAGGAAAAGATATCAAGTTGAGGAGATAAGAGGTGAATAAACATGGCTTCTTGGAGAGGAGCTAGACCCCAGGAGTGCCACAGCTTGTCCTTCCAGGGCAGGGGACAGGGAAGAAGAACTTCTCACCTGTCTTAGTCATCTAGTGCTGCTATAACAGAAATACCACAAATGCATGGCTTTAACAAAGAGTTTATTCTTTCACAGTCTAGTAGGCTAAAAGTCCAAACTGAGGGCAATGGCTCCAGGGGAAGGCTTTCCCTCTCTGTCGGCTCTGGAAGAAGGTCCTTGTCATCAGTCTTCCCTTGGTCTGGGAGCATCTCAGTGCAGGAACCTCAGGTCCAAAGGATGTGCTCTGCTCCCAGCACTGCTTTCTTGGTGGTATGAGGTCCCCATGTCTCTCTGCTTGCTTCTCTCCTTTATATCTCAAAAGAGATTGGCCTAAGACACTATGTAATTTTATAGATCTCATCAATATAACTGCCACTAATCCATCTCATCACATCATAGTGATAGGATTTACACCACATTGGGAATCACATCAGAAGACAAAATAGTAGCAATCATACAATACTGGGAATCTTGACCTAGCCAAGTTGACAGGTATTTTGGGGGGACATAATTCTATCTGTGACACCACCCATCCACCACCTTGACACTGCCCACTGTGTCCAAATCTAGAGTGCCAACTAGAAAGCTGAGATGAGCACAGCCAATTAAGTGGCCTTCAGGAATGGCTCGCTCAAGCCACCGCCCAGCCACAACAATGCAGCCTGAGTCTTATTCTTTCCAAAAGACATTGATTGTCAGGCCCTGTGCTGGGGAGTCAGGTGGGGGTGGGGTGTCTGCCCTGAGGAAGCTCGTCTCTACAGGAGGTGACTCTTTTCCCTGTTGTGTCCCAGAAATCAACGAGTGTGCACCACCTGCGACAGTGTCCTGTGGAAAATTCGCCGACTGCCAAAACGCGGAGGGGAGTTACTACTGCATGTGCAGCCCAGGATACGAGCTCGCTGCTGGGGGAAAAAGGTTCAGGAATGAGAGTGAGAACACGTGTCAAGGTAAGAACCCTCACCGTCCCCCATCTCCTCCTCCTCCAGAGCTGCTCCTGTGCTGCACACGTGCTACTCGGGGCTAAGACGGGACAGGTGTGCTGTGGGTCTGTCCCACCAGCACAGAGAGGCAGGTGGTGTGAGACCCACAGTCACAGACCTTGGGACCAGGTGCCTGGGTCCAAACCCTGACTGCCACCTGACAGCTGTGTGTGTGACGTTGGCCTGGATACTTACTCGTAAAGCATGTGCACGTTTGAGATGTGATGTCACTGTAATTTTCAGTTAAAAAGAGAGAGAGAGAGAAAGTCCTTATCTTTTAAAGATAAAAAAAAAAGTAATTTTGCCTTTTGTTAATTGTGTGACCTTGGACAAGTTACTTTGCTTCTCTGTGCCTCAGTTTACCCACCGATAAAAGGGAGAAGACAAGGGTAGCATTGCTGAGAAGGGAAATGAGATCATGAAAGGGCTTGACAGCACCCGACTCACAGAAAGTGCTTTATCAGTGATGGCTGAAAAAGCCGTCTCCAGCGTGTCTTGCAGGGGGTCACAGTTCAGGCCCAGGAGCAGCTGGTGCCTCCTCGCATGACCAGGCTGTGCCCATTTTGCAGGAGGAGATGGCTGGGTCGGGTAAGAGGTGTCAGGCATCTGTGGGCAGACGGGAGTCACGGCTCACCCAGAGAGGAAGTCAGTGCAGAGTCCAGAGAGCATGGAGGGGAGCTGAACGAAGGGGGGAGGTGAGCCATGCCCCCGGAGAAGACTCTGATGGGAGTCCAGCCCCTCCTTGTGCAGGGAAAAGAGCTCCCCACCTCCTGTGGCCCTGGTGCCAGACCACACGCTCCTCGCCCTGTGAGCAGTCAGTGGTCGGAGGAGCCTCCCTGGTGGGAGGGAGGAGGCAACAGGGCAGAGTGTGTGTGCTGGATGCAGCACTGCTGGTCCACATGGTGATCCCTGTGGGTGGACGCCACCTCACACAACGTGGCTGCGCCAGACGACAGAGCCTTCGTGAATTAGGAGAAGGCCTCTCTGCTCCAGGCAGACACACTCGTGTCTGGGGAACAGAGGGCGGGCTGGTTTTCAGCCCCTACTTGTCCCCTCTGCTGAGCACCCTGTACAGTGAACAACCTGAGCGACTGCACACGACGGTCGTGGGTCCCTCTCCATGTGCCCGGGCTGGCGGGGCCTCCCACACGCTGCTTTGCGCCCCCCA